ACCGGCGAAATGTCTTGGAATGTACTACGTCCACGGTCCTACTCTGGAAATAATGATGCATACAATGGACTCCGGACTAGGTGCGTTCCTCTAAGTCTTCCTACCAATATGACAGACTTGCGAAAACAAGACCAAACAACTTCTATACAACGAAAGGAGACTTCGACCACACCAAAGGCCACACCATCTTGGTCTTTATACCTTCGATTAATCTTGAATATTGTTATCGAGATTTAAAGGGCTTATAAATACTTTTATAAAATAAGAAGACCAATGAGCTAAAAAATCAGATGAATGAAAATTTTAAATAAACCAATATCTAAACTTAATACACATTAGGTCCCTTGATTAATGTTGTGTATTTTCACCCTACTTAGCCAGACTTTGAAATGATCTATGAGAAGAGGATTGCGGAATAATATGGCAGTCTCAGCTTAACGTTTACAACACAATGGAAAGGGAGCGGAGTGAGAAAGCCAGTGTGGGGTGTGAAGGGGTCTCATGAAATCCGATAAAAAGGGCGCATCATGCGACATTTAAATAAGCAATAAAAAAATTATGATAGTGAAGGCGTTGTACGAGGATATAGGAAAGATGAATAACCCAGGACAGGAGAGATACCACAACTGTCTAGAAGACAATTGGTTAATGGAATGACTTTATTTGTCTTTTGGACGAATTGTAGTCTGGTGGTATAAATGACACCACTTACTCACGATGCGGGGAAACTTCTGGGAATGTACCAAGTCCAGGGTCCGACTCTGAAAATTATCAAGCGTGCTATGGATTCCGGACCAGGTGAGTTCCTCTAGGTCTTCCTGCTAATATGACTAAGTTGCGAAAACAAGGTCAAGAAAATATTATCTCACGAAAGGAGACCGCGACCATACAAAAGGCCATACCATCTTGGTATTCATACATACGAATTTAAAATATGCTTTGTATGTGAAAGAAAGTGAGGTTTTAGGATCCTAGAATAGTCATCTTGGGGTGATCAAGATCTTACCATCTTGGTATTCATACATACGAATTTAAAATATGCTTTGTATGTGAATGAAAGTGAGGTTTTAGGATCCTACAATAGTCATCTTGGGGTGATCAAGATCTTCAAGTACAAGGATACCAGAATTATGAGCTGAGGCCATCAGTGAAAGTCTATCTTAATGTTTAAAGAGTTCAGGGTTTATGTAAATAGACGACGGCTTTAGCAAGATCAAAAATTCTACCTGAGTTTCTAAGTTGAAAAAGTCATTATCGTCGTCCTCACTCTCATCCTCAGAAGCGGAAGCGCGTACGAATGACTCGCTGGTCGGACAAACTTGGCCTCTAGACAGCCCTTGCACCGGTCGGCCAGGCCAGGGCCTTCCAGAGGATGCGAATTGTCCGGCCTCGCGCTGTTCACCACAAGACTCTTTTGGGATACTTGGTTTACGTCGGCGGGTTGATCGAGCATCCCAAAGGTCCCAGCGAAGTGATACCTCCTCGAATTGAATTACTTTGCTGAGAACAGAGGAGAGACTACCGCCGGAATTAGAGGTCTCAGAGGCCTGATTATCAGGTGTATTTCTGGTTGCTAAATGAATAGGAATAAGAGAAATATTTCTGATGTGGGCGGGTGAAACAAACACCAAATCCTACCGATTGCATACTGCTACCTTAAAGTTGGCGATCTCTCACTATTGCAGAAAGCAACGATTCCTACTAATCCTAAACAGCCAATTCCAAATTCTTCATAAATCATCTCTCTTTTTATTCTAGTCACACGAGAAACGTACTGAATTCCCAAGCATGAAATAGTGACTTTTACCGGAGCGACATCAATTATGTTCAGAGTTTTTACCGGAGCAAGTAATTGAAGCCGAGGTTTCGTCGTGGAACAACTGAAGATGACAAGGGCGGGCGAAGTCTGGAGGCTAAGAAAGCCGGTCTTAGCGACAAATGCATTATTGGCAAGATTGAAATTGAACATGCTAAGGGAAGTGTTAAATGAGGCTGTTGTATATGCAGGAAGGCAGTTGCTGTTGTGGAACATGGCAACCTGCAAGGAGAAGAATTTTCAAAGTGTTGAGAATGGAGATGAAACAGTCGCGACGTTATACTAGAATGCTCTCAGCAGTTCGCACCGATTCACACTGCCGTGATTATGCGGCAATAAGAGAGTTAAGTTCTGCGGCAATGTGAAGGTGTGCGTGTG